TCATTATATTTTACGTTACCTGTTAGTGATGTCTTAATTATTTAATGTATGTTTAAATAAATATGTTATGAAACAAGTTATGACAGCCACTGTGTAAATGAATATATTTCAACAACAAATAGAAATTGTATCATTTAGTTCATTTAAAAACTGCCTTATGTACAAACTGCATTTTTTTAAAAGTTGAGTGTATTTCATATGTGGTATAAAAATATATAAATCCATATAAAATTCTGTATAAGAATAATATTTCATATATGTTGTTTAAATAAACTTGCATATATAAATTAGATATATAGGGCCTATTGTTTACATATGTGGCATTACATATACATATTTTTAATATACTAATTTTACTATGGGTATTTCATATATGATATAAACTTATATCAAATCCTATATAAGCATACCGAATATTTGCATATATGTTTTTGAAATAGACTTGGCTTATAAATTAGACATATATTGTATGGTCTTAACATACAGGACCATATAAAAAGTCATTATATAAATAATTTTAATATATGTATATATAATAATTTGAATATGGGTATTTCATATATTGTATAAACCTAAATCTACATATATTGTGAGGATGTATATATGTGCTAATAATATATGAAAACATATATGGCATCACTGATATAGGGACTTACATGTACATATATTACATTTCTGTATGGGCAGGGAGAGATTGTTCCCCAATTTACAGCAGCATTTTGCGCTACTGTATGTTTCTAAACATCTTCATATTCATCATTCTGAAACCTTAACACGACTCATTTTTGCAAGAAGCAGTTTTGTTAACTGGACAAGACTTGCTGATACCAGATGAAAATAACAGAGGAACTATTATCTACATGGAAGAATAACATTGGAATTGTTTCTGGCACAGTCAGGAGGATGGACTGCCTCCAGGCAACTCGGACGACAGACTTGGGTTGAAAACTCCCTCTGCAAGTGTTTTTCCTCACTGAACTACAACTAGGCAGTGTGAGTGTGATCTGTTTTCAAGTCCATGTAAATATGGTACCGTTAGTAGCATGGCTACTGGGTCAGATAATATAACAGCTTGGTGCGACCGTCATAGTGACAACAGCCAATCATATTACTTTTCCGGTGTTGCATGAATGTGATTGGCTAGCATCTACACTAGGGTTTTTTGCATAAGACAATCTGATTGGCTGATGCCTGCGCTGGCGCTTGAAAAGTTGAAAATCTTTTAACTTCTGCCACAAGCAACACCACTGGCGCGACACAACAAGATCCACAATTCAGTTCAGCAACACATGACGTCCCCCATTCAAAGTAAATGAGAAGCATTAACGCCAACGTTTTTTAAGGCTTGCATGCTTTTTTATGTAAGGTCAGTTAATTAGATTGTACAGTGTGGGATGTGTGGAGCATCTAGTGACGCTGCCAGACATCGTGAAGGAGTTCTCCCAACTGGTGGTGGACTGGATGACAGAGCATTCTGGGAGCCGGATCATTTTTTTCTCCTCTTTCCTCTCACTCTCCTCTATGTTTCTCTCCTAGTCGCTTCTCTTACTTCCTTCTCCTTTCTCTTGGCCTGCGAGGGGCAGTGAGATAATGTGGTAAGCAGGGTGGAGGCGGGAGCTGTGGGAATGGAGCGAGGCCAGAGGAATGAATGTTAATGAGAAACAACTGCAAATCTCAAATCCCATGGAGGAGCTCCGGAAGTATATAATGAGGAGAGGGGACAGTGGAGGAAGAGAGAGGACCAGGCCTGGGATATTTGTTATTTTAAGAAAGGAGGCAGTTTAACAATGTAACTCTTATTTTATCACCAGTCTCCGCAAAAAAACATTTTGAAAGATTTTGTTTCAACATTAGTAGAGGGAATACAGTAACATCTAGCTGCTGTGAGGATGTAACTACAGTCGGATTAAAAGCTATGCAGAGTGCAGAGAAATGCAGCTTTGATCAGTTTTCTACAGTTTGTTAAAAGCTAAGGACTCCATGGCTGGATTCCTGAGGCTGGATTTGTCTTTGAGGTATTTTTGAGATGTTAGGCCAAGAACAGAAGAATTCAGAATAAACTATTGATTATGGGGTGTTATTTATACCATCCAACCATGACTCAAGGAGACTTGTTTATGAACAGGTCACACAGTCTATTTGACTTTGCAAAGTGGGTCTTTATATTGTTTGAAATTCACCACTGGCTGCATTTTTGTTATTTGAGCAGCAGGACATGTCATGCTTTAAAGTGGTTTATGATACTAGAATTGCCAAACACCATTTTTGGGAAAGCTATACTATTCAGTCTAGTTGATCATATCTGAACTAATTCCAGACCGTCAAGATGGTGCAGAGATAATGGAGATTTGTAATGGTAAAATAAGACCATTTGACACTCTAAATTTTAATTAGATTTTCTACACTGTTCAACTTTTGAGGACAATGGGGAATGCAAAGTAGGTTGAGCAGTAACTTCAGACTTAGTTTCAGGTTGATCTGGTTGTTCTAAAATGTGAGTTGGCGTACTACAAAACAGCCAACATCTAAACTGACTTCCATTATGCCTTTGGTGTTGTTCATGGCTTCAGAGCAGGCTGGCAGCAGAAAGGTTTTCTCACAATGCAGGTGAGACTGAAGGAAGAACCCTTGCAGACCAGGCATAAGCGAGTCGCATAAACGGCAGAAATCTTTGCTGCTCAGGCATGTCATTTGCATGTTAAAACACCTCAATCACAGATATAGCCAAAATGCAAAGTCTGTGGATTAATTAGTAGATTCTGAACCTTGCCTTCCCTTTTTTGCATGTTAATGTTTAAGCGATATTGTAGAAGGGTTTTTAGAAATTGTCAAACATAATTTGGCAATCCCATTCTATTTAGTTGGGAAAAACCTGCAGAACTTGTGAATTGCAATGTCATTTTATGACTCTTTCTAAATGGTATTGGTTACAGTTGAAAATATTTTCACATTCAAAAGACACTGCTGTCTATATGGCAAATAAAGAGATAAAACATACTTCGAAATCAGAATTGCAAAATATGGAAAGACAGGACTCATGCTGCCTTCTCGTGCTATCATAAACATCCTATTTTCCACATGTTTGTGACGATTCCTACATTTCAGTCAAATAAATGCTATTTTTGCTGTGTTCAATACATACAATATGCATCAAATGATTATTTATATACGTAAATATGCATGACTGTAATGACAGGAGAAAGCAATGTAGACAATTATGAGAAAAATGAATAAAACTTCACGGTACTACAGCCATGTGTTTCCTCTGCCATGTATAAAATTTATGGCCCGCCCAACTCGGAAAGTCAGGTATCAGAATTATCTCAGAGTTTCCCAGCTGTAAATATGACTTGAGAGACCGTTCATGTCCATATTTACAAGAATTCTGATAGCATGTGAAGGCAGCATTACATGGTAGTTGCTCTTCCATTTCTTTTCAGTGCATAATATCGGCTAATAAAAACTGGGCTGAAGATCAGTCTATGTCATTATTAGTCATCGACCTGAGGCAAATATGCAAATTATTGTCAGAGGGTTTTTCTTCTTTTTCTTTTCAGTTCAATTTTAAGGATGCAAGAAAACCTCCTCCAGGGGTGGAACACCCATAGCACTGTGCCAAGATAAACTGTTTGAAATTCAGGCCTAGAAAATAGTTTAATTAGTTATCCTTTCAGCTGTAAAATGAAGGCAAGACAAGATAGAAACATATTCATCACTGCAAATGAGACCGGGTGATGGAGTCATGGGGAAGAACCTTGTCTTTCAGTGACTTGGGGGGCCCAATCCTGTGATGAAGATATGGTGGGTGCAGGCTAAGATGATTAGCTTACACTAAACTGCAGTCACCAGCCAAAGGGCGTCAAAATCATTCCAGCAAGTTTAAATCAACTTGTTTTTCAAAAAGAGCAGAATCTGATTTACACTCTCTTGTTTTGGTGTTTTCGTAGATTTCAGAAATTCACTTCAAGGTGATACAAGGACACTGTACCAACCCCCAGCAAACAGAATAACAGGAAGTTCAGTCAGAGAAACAAGACTTCCCAATCTTCGACCTCAAGACTATCGAGACATTTCATGAACTACATTCTGAGCTACAAAGGTCACAATTACAGTAAATAAGGTACATGACTAAAGAAACTTAGTCAGAAGTTAACTGTTTTCTTTTATCTTTCTTACTTTCCTTTTTTTCACATATATACTGGGGTGTTTGGAATCGTCTCAGTGTAACGTGAATTTGTAAAAACAGTGACGTTGTGCGCATCTGTAATAGGTGTTCGGTCCATAGGAATGCATATGTGTGCAGGCGCATAGTGTTTCTTTACAATGTGACACTGCCAACTACTAGCCTGGCATGCATAATACTGCATTTTATTCATTTTCGTTTCATTGTTTACATTCAGCATGCACGCGATTTCTACTGAATGTAAACAACAACGGCGGAAGACGGTAACTCGGGGACAAGTATTGTTGAATAAATTATGTTATTATTGTTTTCTTTGCACACAAAAAGTATTCTCGTAGCTTTGTAAAATTACGGTTAAACCCCTGATGTCACATGGACTATTTTACCGATGTCCTTGCTACGTTTCTGTGCATTGATCGTGATAATATCCTTGCTGTCAGTGGAGGGTCAGAGAGCTCTCAGATTTCATCAAAAATATCTTAATTTGTGTTCTGAAGATGAACGGAGGTCTTACGGGTTTAGAACGGTAATTAATGACAGAATTTCATTTTTGAGTGAACTAAGTCTTTAAGATAAATTAAACAGATAGTCAAGTTAAATGAACAGTTAAATTCAAAACCGCAATACTAAACAAAACAGTGACAAAGAAAAAGAACAAAACCAAACCAAGAAAAACAGCAGCCTTTGTTGGCTCCACTCATTTCCTTGTGAGCTCACACACAATTATGTGTGGGGGTTTTGTTCTTGGTCCTCGCACCTCCTACTCTCCCCTTCCCTCCTGCTCATCCAACGGTCCACAGATTTTTCAGTCTTTTTCTAATGTGAGGACAGTCAGCAACAGCTGGATCACACTGAGCACACAGACTAGAGCGAGAGACGTGAGAGTAGTTCAGTAGAAGTGGTTTTTAACAGCTTTGGACAACATGCATCTGCTTTGGAGAAGAAATGTTTTTGACTTATTTTTCAGTCTGTTTTTGATTTATCTCGAATGCAACAGCATAACAGGTAAGTTGCTTTTTCTTTCTTTATTTACTATATGTTAACTTATATGTATTGGACATATGAGTTTAGGATTTTGGGGTTTAGTGATTTTTAAGTTATGTTACTGAGTGATAACATAATATCATCTTTTCAGTATTTTGGTCATTTGTGTTGTCATGCTAAAAACTTAACAAAACACAAATCAGCCTCGATTCAGTTTTGATTTGTGAGCACAGCTCACTTATTTTCCAGAAGATATTTATATGTTTACTCACTCCGTAAACGTAAAATACGTATTTTGCAGGTGTTAAGATTATTGGTCATGATGCATCAGTCAAAAAAGGAGGAAATATCACTTTGTCTTGTCATCTGACTGAGACAGAGGAGAATTTAACTCATATTGTCTGGCAGAAACAGACAAGAGAAAACCCTAAACAGGAAACCTTCTTAATCATTGACAAAGATGGTAAAACTGAACACAAAAACGATTTACTGGACAAGGTCAAATTTATTGGGAATATTAAAGAGAAGAATGGATCGGTTCAGCTGCTGGGAATGACACTGATGGATGATGGGATCTATACTTGTATCTTCATATTTCCTAGTGGAAAAAATCAGACAAACATCAATGTCACCGTACTTGGTAAGACTGTGAATGTTATTCTCTGATTTAAAGCTGCTTAAACTCTAAATTTAAAAGCTTAAAGGATTCACCTAAAAATCTGTCATTTACCCTCCCATGTTGTTCCAACTCTGTGCAACTAACTTTCTTTTGCTGAACACAGAAGACATTGTCTCAAGCATCAGAATTTAACAGCACATAATGGACAGAATTTTCCCTTTTAAATGATTCATCATTACATTTCCTCTTACAGACATGGTGTGTTTAAAGCAAAACTTGTAAAAGTTAAATGGTAGTGCTTGTATGCACAATAACATAATTATTGTCTATTTTTTTTCCCAACAGTCAATGTATTTCAAGAGCTTGTAACACTCCAAAGAGAAAGGAAAAATTAAAATCGCATCATATGACCCCTTTAAGTATTTCATTTTTATATACTGCAATTTATCAATAATTAACCATAGCATGAAAAAAAATTATTAGCTATTGGGCAGAACTTTAAAAATCTACTTTTAGTAATAATCCAAACCAAAGCTGAACTATTTCGTCATGTTCACGTTGTTGACATAATTCATTTATTGTCGTTTTTTTTTTGTCAAATGTAGTTCCTCCGGTGGGAAATGTTACAGGGAAGACACATGTTTCAGGTCCTTTCAACATTATTTTGGCATCATGTGTCGCTTCCAATGGCCGGCCTGCAGCAGAGGTGTTTTGGAGATTAGGAGCTCTGAATGACTCACTGAGGACAGAAACCAGCTACACAGAGCAGACAGATGGAAGCGTCACGGCTGTGTCCCACATACTTGGTGCACCATCTAAAGATTTAAACCAGAAGAAGATCCAGTGTGTGGTAAAACACAGCACACTGACAAAGGAGCTAGAACTTGACTACATAATAAATGTCCACTGTAAGTAACATATGCATTTACACTGTATATGTAAACACTGTCAAACAAGTCATAAACTAGCTTAGTGCAAAAAGAATACAACGGCCACTGGTAAAGGCTGAGTGACTATTAACAGATTTACTGTGACTGTAAGTTGTGGTGGGCCTCTGTATCTGGAATCTGTTGGTTGGTGGAGCTGGAATGCAAGGAAATTGTCATTCCTCTAGAAGAAGAAAGTTAAACTTTTCCTGGCCTACATAATGCTTATAACCGGCCAGATGTGAAACGTGATCGGCACAGATTCCCTCCTGTAAATGAAGCATCCCTAGATTCACAACTACATGAACTATGTTTATGGTAAGTCATATATTATTATAATTAAAGCATTAAATTATTATTATTATATTTTGCAACTCTTAGATCCCCCAGAATTGGTGGTGATATCTCCTGATGATCCAACACAGACTCAAGAATATCTTTGTTCAGTGAATTGTAACCCAACACCAACCAGCTACATCTGGATCAAGTAATGAAATCATGTGCTTTTTAGTACTTTAATTCCTACACACTTCAGACACATTTAGAGTTGTATGGCAGAGTTGCTTGTTCATTTTTAGGCATAGCTGTTTTGTTGCTATAAATATCATTTGTTTTTTTACTTAGTTTGGATGATGGAAAACAATATGTGTAAGTATAATATTTGGGAATGTTCTAGTACTCAAGACTTGGGAACATTTGGATTCAGAAAACAAGAAGTGTGGAATCGGACACATAATATAAGTATAAAATATGATGACTAATTAATTATCATCATTATTCATCGTTGTTATGTGTTATGTTATGCTGTCTAACATTTTCAAGTTTGTGTTTTGCTTTTACTGTTTTACATTATCACATGTACAGTATATGTGACCCTAGACCACAAAACCAGTCATAAGGGTCCAGTTTTTTTAATTTTATTTTTAATTTTTTAAAGCTGAATAAATAAGCTTTTCATTGATGTATGGTTTGTTAGGATAGGACACTATTTGAATATTTTTAAATCAAAATATTGAGAAAATTGCCTTTAAAGTTGTCCAAATGAAGTCCTTAGCAATGCATCTTACTAATCAAAAATGAAGTTTTAGTATATTTACGGTAGGAAATCTTCATAAAATATCTTCATGGAACATGATCTTAACTTAAAATCCTAATGATTTTTGGCATAAAAGAAAAAATTATAATTTTGACCCATACAGTGTATTGTAGGGTATTGCTACAAATATACCCCAGTGACTTAAGACTGCTTTTGTGCTCCAGGGTCACATATGTTCATGTATATATCACATGTCGGATTCACTAGTCTCCCTAATGTGTCTTTATTAACAGAGTGAATGGAAGTACTCCTCGTTCTGAAGGAAACAAGCTTTTCATCCCAAAATCTTCCTCTGATTTTAATGGTGTATACATCTGTACGGCATCAAACCTGTATGGAAGTGCTTCCGGTTTCCTCTATGTGAATAACACTGGTGAGTCGCTTAATAATCTTTATATTTGAAAATTATTTTCAATAGTTTTTATGCAGTTTATAGTGGTAAATGTTTCTAAAATAGGTGTTTCTTTAGCTGCTGCTTTTTTTTTTTTTTTTTTTTTTTGAAGCTACTTCTTGTTTTTAAAACACTGCATAATTAGCATCAACAACAACAAATGTATTTCAGGTTTTGATGCATTACAGAAAATCTGTACAATCCTGTAGATGGGAAGCCATCTAAAGTAAATGTAAAATGTGAGGATTAAAGCCTGCTCAGACAGAGAATAATAGCTATAAAAATAACGATAATGATATTAGCATCCACACCAAAACACAATAACTTTCTGTTTATTATAAGTGCGTGCTACAGTTATTTCATCTGCTGCTTTAAATGCTCATGCTTTTTTAAGTCGTGTGGATTTCGGATTGGCTGTTTTCATCGTTCATCAGCTGGAAAAAGTCATTCTGATTCCAATGATACTGCTCCTCTGTGTCATTATTATTACAGTTGTGATGTGATGTGATCTTCACTATTTTCATAGAATTAGAATGATTTTTCAAATGAATTGAACTGGCTTTTTGCTTGTTATCATAGAAGATGTAAGCTGACTGCTCTCCACTCTTGTTCTATGTTTTGCAGGATCCACTGATGACTGTTGGCTTCTTCTTGGTTTGGTCTTCAGCTGTGCCGTCCTGTGGATTTCTCTGGCCTACATATTTGAGCAGTGGTGGAAAAATGCCTCATGTTCCACACTCAAGTAAAAGTACAGTAAAAGTAAACACTTTTAATTAGGCATCATCATATGTAAACTCATGGTAAATGTCAGTCACAGTCAGACTGAGGTGCCGAGCAGTGCTGGGGAAGTTTACTTTTATATTCATCCATTTAGCAAAGTTTTTATCCAAAGTGACTTACAAAAGAAAAACCAGACATTCTGCCATATTCTGGATCATCTGCAGAGGTTTAGTCACCCTGGTTGGAAGACTCAGACTTGAAATTACAAAATTACAAGTTGTTCTGCATATTTGTGACCAAAACCAGTCTTAAGTCGCTGGGGTATATTTGTAGCAATAGCTAACAATACATTGAATGGGTCAAATTTATCAATTTTTCTTTTATGCCAAAAATCATTAGGATATTAAGTAAAGATCATGTTCCATGAAGATATTTTGTACATTTCCTACCGTAAATATATCAAACCTTCATTTTTGATTAGTAATATGCATTGTTAAGAACTTTATTTGGACAACTTTAAAGGTGATTTTCTCAATATTTTGATTTTTTGACACCCTCAGATTCCAGATTTTCAGATAGTTGTATCTCGGCCAAATATTCTCAAATAATGGAAAGTTTATTTATTCAGCTTTCAGATGGTGTATAAATCTCAATTTCGAACTCATACATATGAGTATATACTGTATATGTCATGTAATACAGAAAAATTGGATTGAAATAATGTGTGTGTGTGTGTGTAAAATGTATTTAATTCTTGCAATATATATATATATATATAAAATCATTAGGACATTAAGTAAAGATCATGTTCCATGAAGATATTTCATACATTTCCTACAGTAAATACATCAAAGCTTAATTTTTGATTAGTAATATGCATTGCTAAGAACTTCATTTGGACAACTTTAAAGGTGATTTTCTCAATATTTTGATTTTTTTGCACCCTTAGATTAGATTTTCAAATAGTTGTATCTCAGCCAAATATTGTCCGATCCTAACAAACCATACATCAATGGAAAGCTTATTTATTCAGCTTTCAGTTTTCAATTAAAAAAATTGACCCTCATGACTGGTTTTGTGGTCCAGGGTCATATTTGTGCTGCAAATGTGAACCTGCACGATCAGGCTGTTGTGACGTGGGTAGAAAAGCAGAAGCTACGCTCATGTTCCCAGCTGTCCTGGTTGGTGTTGTTATGGTCACAACTGACAGCGATTACCAGAATCTGTTTTTTTGCATGCTTGACTTGTAGATGAGCTGTAGAAATTTATTTGACTGGAATTTCAGATTAGTTTGCAAGCTGAATATCTAGGTCACCAGATTAGAATGTTACCAATGAATGAGATGCTACATCTTATTCAAAACCTGTTGGATATTGACTAAGTATCTAGGCTTTAATGAGATTTCCCAAAGAAATAGACAAGAATGAACTCATGAATGGACCGCCCACCATGATTTCTGTTCTTTCTGACAGCAAAGCACAAAGCACAGAACGGGACTGGTAAATAGGAAATTTCTGATTAATACCATGGATAAACAGGACCTGAGATGCAAGCCTCTTCGAGTCTGCATAAATGACTTGTTGAGCTTATTGGTGGAAAGTTCTGTAGTGCTTCAGTAAAACAGTTTATACCGTGTCTACACTGCAAACGAGCATCCAAAACTAGATCAATTTGATTCATAACGGCGATCCACATTTCTATAATTGCTGATTTATTGAGCAATCGCTTTTCTATAATTGCTGTACACAAACCTGCTGGAGATATAAGTTATGCACATACACAGGTGCTCTGTGGACACAGCTGTACTGTAATTCATTACATTTTTATTTAAAGGGGTCATATGATGCGATTTCAATTTTTCCTTTCTCTTTGGAGTGTTACAAGCTCTTGGTGCATAAAGAAGATCTGTAAAGTTGCAAAGACTAAAGTCTCAAATCCAAAGAGATATTCTTTATAAAAGTTAAGAGTCAGCCACGCCCTCCTAAAACGGCTCGTTCTAACACGCCCCCACATGTCTACGTCACCATTTGGGCGGCGTTATGCAACTCTTCCCACATCGTCACGCAAAGAAAAAAGGCGTAACTTTTATTCTCGCTGTAGTATTTGTTGCAGCCGCCATGTCGTGAAGACGCTGTGTGATTCGGTGTGAAAGCAAAACTACTTTGTTTGGTCTTCCAAAAGAGGACACGACTACAAATCAGTGGTATTTACAACACTGTTCCAGAACACTTCAACCCAAATATTCAGATGTGTGCAGCACATGGAGGACTGTTTCCTGATCCTGGAAGAGTAGACTACAATGCCAGACTGTAAGTACATTTTCATATTTAAAGGATTTGCCACTGACGATTCAAACGCGAGTTTTGAGCAGTGTAGAGTAGCACTTGTTGTTCGTAATTTCTCCAATCACAAATGCAGACATGGTTTTATGATTACACGGCGCGATACGCAACGTAACGCGTAAAAAGACAGTATAAGTCATTATAATCCGTAATTATGTCCCCACTGGATGCAACAAATGCCTCGTTTGTAATGGGTTTTAATGTTTATGTCTCGTCGCTCCGGCCGGACACGGCATCAACAGTATGGTGAGGGGCGTAACATTTCCGTCTCACACTTGAGGTATTCGGCCAATCACAACGCACTGGATAGCTGGCCAATCACAGCACACCTCGCTTTTCAGACCGATGAGCTTTGTAAAAATCGACGCGTTTCAGAAAGGCAGGGCATAGAGGGCTGGACTCCGCTTCGTCCACGGTGAAAGCCGATCCGGCGATCCACAGCGCGAAGTTCACTCTTAAAAATAAAGGTGCTTCACGATGCCATAGAAGAACCTTTTTGTCTAAATGGTTCCATAAAGAACCTTTAACATCTGAAGAACCTTTCTGTTTCACAAAAGGTTCTTCGTGGCGAAAGAAGGTTCTTCAGATTATAAAAAGGTAAGAAAGAGATGGTTCTTTAAAGAACCTTTGACTGAATGGCTCTTTGTGGAACCAAAAATGGTTCTTCTATGGCATCGCTTGAAGAACCTTTTGAAGCACCTTTATTTTTAAGAGTGTATGTGGAAAATAATGTGTTTTTTTAACTTTAAACCGCATAAACACATTTCATTACACCAAATACACAAAATAATATTCTTTTTAGCAACATCATATGACCCCTTTAAGAAATCTGGAAAATGCAATCTATTTCAGCACTGCATGTTCAGTTCCAATCACAGTTACTGGAGGGGCTCATGCGAGTGTAATGTTTTAGTCATGTACTGTTTGATTGATTACTGTGAAGTTCATGAATCAAAGTCAAGAGTAAATTATATGTTTTCTGATTATTTGTCTGGACCTAAATACATCACAAATATGCTTAACCAATATGCACTGCATTATTTCATTCTGTAAGTTTCCTTTCCTTTGTATTGATTTTAAATTAAACTTTGTCTTTTTCTTTTCAGTGATTTTAAGACTTTTACATTTCTGTTTATCGTTGTCTTTTTTCCATGCCTACGTAAAACCCCATCACTGCGCATTTTGCTCTATATAAATAAACCTGACTTGTCTTGATGAAAAAGTACAAAAAATGGTTTGATTGGTGACCTCCAAAAGAATGACAGTGACTGTTGTGCTCTGAACTATTTTATTTGCCAGTGTTTCTAACTGCTGTGTTGCAGCTCCAGAGTTGTTCTCTATTCTTGCTTGCCAGAGAAAAAGTGGATAGAGTATGTGTGATCATAAACCAGTTATGTAGGGCAATTGAACCATCTGTAGGGCTTCAGTTTCATAGTTCATCTTGAGGACAACCCAGGAAAAACAGTGTACTGAACTGTACAAATAAGTCACAACAGAAAGTGTCCAACACAAACACAAAAAAGCCCACAGTGCTCAACCAGTGAACCATGGGAAGTGTGTGTCATGGAACTGACCTTTCGACCTAAATAAAATGTTTCAGTTGTTTAAGAAGTACTGTATGTGTAGTACCAATCTGAATATCTTGCCACAGATATAATTATAAAAAATAGTCACAAAAAGTTATAAAAATTAATAAGTTAAGCAAAGAAAATTAAATAGGTCTAATTTAACTACCTAATATAAATAGCCTAAAATGAAAAAAAAAAAAAAACTATAACAACCTTTTTAATTGTATCACAAACACACACACACACACACACACACACACACACACACTGCCCTAAGACTAAGGTACACTGCAGATATGCTTATTGAATATACACCATTGTTCAAAATTTTGGGATAGCTATGGTTTCATTTATTTAAGTAAATTGCTACTTTTTTTTTTTAATGTTACACAAATAAATACTGTTCTTCCAACTGTCTGTTGATTAAGGAATCCCGAAGAAGACACAGGATTATGATTTCCACATTTATTAAAGGCAGAGTAAGTGATTTCTGGTAGCCAATGTTGATATTTGAAATCACCAA